CAGCGAAAGGCAGCAGTGACTGCCTCCACCTCCATTCTCAAACTACATGTTGTGATATCGTATGCAAATCTTTGTTGCACTAAGTGACGTCCATTCGCTTTTGCCATGAGCTCCCATGCAGACGCTTTTTCCGATTTGATGACAGCACACATTTCTGCACACCAGTCGCTTGAAATATATTATCTCATTCTGCAGAAGAGGGGATCTGTGTGATGATAATAGATCAGAAGTATATTTGTGGGACAACAGTAAAGGCCCACCAGTACAGCTGTAGAAGTTGAACGCATTACATCTCATGAAAAAAAGGAAAGGCACCTGGGCCAGACAACATCAAACTGGAAGAAACTGAAGCTTTGGGATATTCTGGAATTGAAATAAAAACAAAACTCTTAAATGTTATTTCTAATAAAAGGTACATTTATTATGATCTATTAAAATCTATATTAATTGCTCTGCCGAAAAAACCATGCACTTTAAACTGTGAAGACTATCGCACCAAAAGTCTTATGAGTAATGTGACACAAATGTAACTAGGAATAATTATGAGAAAAAAAAGACATCAGTGAAGAATAGTGTTGATCTGTAGAAGGAAAATGAACCAACAATGCCAGTGCATCCTTAGGACTCTTTCGGAAAGAGCTATAAAAGTCAAAAAACGATCTTTAATTGTGCTTCATTGACTATAAGAAAGCATTTGATTTTGTGAAGCATTAGGAAATAATTGAATTATTGGGAAAAGTTAAACATCGATGGAAAAGATTTACGAATAACAAAGAATATGTTTTGACAGAAAACAGCAGCTATATGAATTATTTACCATTTAGGAATATTTAGTGAATCAGGCAAATTGTGGGAACGACACCTTGTACTAGATTCATCGAGAAACAGCAGATTAAGTGGTTTGGCCATCTCGTTAGAATGCCGCATGATCAAATACAATCACAATCACTGCATCTCAAAAGATCAGCTACAAGAGCAAGAGGACGGCCGCGGAAAACATGCATCGACAACATTAAAGACACTCCACGCCTTAACGGCATGACAATAGCCAGTGGCAGCCAACGTGCACTGGATCGCAAATTATTCCTCCCCACGTCGCTTGGCGACAGAAGTGGTTTATGATGACGATGATGAAAGACGGGAGAGTACGACAAGGATGTGTACTATCGCCTGATTTTGTTTCATTATACAGTGAATATAAAGGAGGACAAAGAGGAATGGAAAAATAGACGGCAAGTGTGCTGAATGACACTACGGGAAACTGATGATGATATAATTTTCTTAGGAAATGTGTAAAAAAAAAAAATCACCTGACGTACCAGAAATCGGCAATTCCCGTTCACAGTTATCTAGGAATATACTCAGGAGCTCCATATGTCAATTTCAATATTACAACGCATTTTGAAACGCAAAATAAACTCCATGTTTAATTTCTGTCAATAAATAGCGGTGACAAGCAAACTATGAACACTCTTTGTGTTTACAAACTACTGTGTTGACAAATTAATCTGCTTACTTGTGGGATATTTATTATTATTCATAAGTGAGTAAGTAAATAAGTAAGTTGTACCCCACCAGGACATCACACAAGCGATAAACACCCGGTGACGTAAAGTGTCACCATGCGGATGAGAATCACCCGTGGAGAGGTCCCGGAAACCTTTTCAGCCATTGGGCCATGTTTATAGCTGCTATATTCAGGGCTCCTGGCAAAAACCATGGCGGGGCTTCAAAATAATTAAACATTGCATCCCACATGGGGATGACTGTATAATATTAAAAGTGAGTTAGAAATGACATAATAAATATACATGTAAATTCCTGACTTCCAGTGAAAATGGACGCTTGGCACGGCCACTTTTTTTAGCCGTGGCAAATTTGTTGCTTCTGCCAGATGGTGGCCATTGCAATTTCGCTCTATTTGTAGACTGAAAGGATATAGTTTCGTTTCTCAGCTTATAAGTTAAGTGCATGGCGTGACACTGTGAGCTGCGGATTTCATTTGAAATGTTTTTCGGCTGTGACCAACGTGGTGGTGTGAACTGAAGATTCAGAAACAAGCGTCTCAGTAATGGTGGTGCCATTATGTGATTAAAATTGATCGTGTGTGCAACTGCTGACTTCTGCAACCATCAATGATGAACAGCATATCTAATGTCGGACTGTTTGTGTAAGCACTTCGGATGGCTACCGTGTGCTTTTAATGCGTGCGTATGCTAGATATGTGCTAGATATGCTGAGACAGCAGTCTGTCAGTCTTTCCACAAGGGGCTGTGATGAACATTCTGTGTGTTTTTCGTTGGCACCTGAGTGGAGCAACAATGGGGTGACCCGTTTGCTATGAAGTTGAAACTAAGATTACCAGATTACATGTAAACTCGCATTTACTAATGGTCACTCATCTTATTTTTAAAAAAGAGCAAAGATTTAGCGTGGATATACGTGGCGAAACCGTAGTCCATTTGCCTCCCTCTCAAAAGGTCGTGGATTCGTTTAGCAGTCATACGACCATCTCTGTAGATCTTCACTGAGATTGGTGTCTTGTACACAGAAAAGATGTATGAGAAAAATAGAAAGTGTTGGGAAACTAATAATATGTACCTGTAATTTTTGGGAGTGTTGTAACTGTGAATTGTTACTCGGCAATTGTTAATTGTTCATTTTAGAGGTCATCTTCATCGCACATCTGGCATGGCATTTTTGATGTCTCTACTGTCCATAGCAGGCCCATTCCTAGTGGTCGCGCTGCCAGCCAGAGCGTCTGCTCTCTCACTGCATTTCACACATCAGCATGCCTATGGACAAAAATGAAGGTAATTTTGCGAAGCGCTGCGTGCTGTATCAGATGGAACCACCGTTTCCGTATGTTACCCTTCTTTGATGTTCTGTAGCATGCTCATTGAGTCGCCGAGTAAGCATGCATTGGCGAACTCCTGAGTTTTCAGCCATTCTAGGGCCTTTATCATAGCCATGACCTTCATGGTCATGTAGCTGGTGGTAGAAGAAAAGGCTCCACTGTCCTTTTTGATGACTTTCCCTTTAGTTCTTGCCAGAAAAGCCCATGAACTTCGCTTCTAATGAATCACATTACCATATATATATATATATATATATATATATATATATATATATATATATATATATAATAGCATCTTCTGGTGATGTGTGTTCCTCCACCAGTGTGTTCACTTCTGCATCAACTACTGGTGGCGCCAAATCACTACACCATCTTGTCAAGGAGATAACCAGCACAAAGTACTGCTTGAATGCATTTGGTACGGATATCCATTTCTCTCCACGGTTTATATTTAGAAGGAAATCACCCGGCCTCATTTAAGTCTGTATTTAGTTCATCGTGCAGTGGATGTGAAAAATCCTCAGTAATTTTGAGGCGAGCACACGCTTGACGCATTTCAAGCCTGCTGTTTAGAAATGGAAGATCTAGTAGATATCTCAATGTTCTACATGATGTGTCTTTTGTGCAGTGAAGTATGATGCGCATTGCTTCTTTTTGTACCTTTTCCAGTCTATCGATTTATGTCTTTCTGTGGTTGAGGACATCAGAAGGAGACAGTCATTATTTTTCGGCCATGTTATGAAAAGAGAGAAAATGGAACACATTGTGACCACTGGAAAGATCTGTGGAAGGAGGTATAGAGAAAGACAACCAGACAGGATTCATGACAGTCTTGTTGCATTGCATGAAGGTGTGTCAGCACACGAACTGATACATGCTGCATGAGATCGCAGATTGTGGAGAGGCATGTTCGCCTACACCAGTTGGCAAGGCACCTGATGATGATGATGTGGTTGAGGATTGCCATAGCATATTCATTGATAGAGAGAATCAAACCCTGGTAGAGGATGACTAGCAGCCTTTGTTGGCCACACATGGCAGCCGTAACTTTCATTGCAGCCAAACCTTTTCTGGCCTTGTTGATCATAGAGTATTAACTTGGAATATGTAGCTAAGTCTCCGATCAAAACTTACTACCAGGTATCTTAGAAGTTGAGTCCTTACTATCTCTTTACCATTCATTTGGACAGAGGGCGTTACTGTATGTACTGTGTAGTTGTTCAAAGAGAACCAAGCTGCAGTTGCTTTCGCAGGATTAATCTGTGCTCCGGTTAGACATCAATCTGCTATGCTCAGCAAATAACGGTGTAAACATTTATCACGCGAACTAGGGATTTGGATTTTTATGTAATAAATATTATCCTGCTCATAATTCATAGTTATCTTTATATATAGGGCTAATTATTATATTTCCAATGTATATTTTGATATGTTATGTGTTTCATCATAGTTTAATTTAGTTATGTTTACCGGAACATACACTGAAAGTAATTATATTAATAATAAAAACATAAATTAAAAAAACCAGCATGTTCACCCCCTATTCTTTGTAATGGAATGTATATAATGTATTTTCGTTTCAGAAAGTGGATATTTATTATTTGTCGGATTAATACTATTTCACGTATGTATGTAAGTTGTACCCCACCAGTACATCACACAAGCCATAAACAACCAGTGACACAAAATGCCACCATGCGGATGAGGATTACTCGTGGAGAGATCCTGGAAACCCCTTTCACCCTTAGGCCATATTTCAGGCCCGGCTATATTTAGGGCCCCCGGCAAAAGCCAGGGTGGGGCTTCGAAATAACTAAAAATTGCATCCCACAAGGGGGTGACGACATTAACAATAATACTATTTCACATTGTATTTATTACATACGTATGTCTCATGCAATTGTATTATTCGCATTGTGCAAGCAATATGTCTGTGTCTGGTATTTTAATATGTGAATGTAGTACGCATTGCAAATTATTACCGTAAATAGTTTTTTTTTAAACTTGTTATGTAATGGTTATCTTTCTTTGACGTATAAATAATATGCATATGTTTATTTAATTTTTTTTTCTTAATTTTTTTCAGAAAAGGTTTTGAGGAAAAGAACCTTTAGAACAATCTGAAACATCATCGCTGGCAAACATGTTGGAATTCATCTTCAGATCTCTGGTTACATTTGTAACTTGCATCCTTTTTATAGCCACTAAGATATTCATGAACATCTGTGATCATGCAAAGAAAGTGTTCCATTGGGGGAATGTGTTGAAAGAATGCTGTTTTCGAATGAGTTGTTACGTGAAAAATAAAACAAAAAAATCAGCATCCAATAACAAGTTAGATATCATCGATAATGACACTGGTGAAAGCTGGACTCGAAAAGCCCCTTCCAACCATAGTCAGACCCTAAGTGTTTATGTTTTGCGGGACTATCCGATGAATGCCGAGTTTGTCGATCGTAACAGGAGAAGGGACAGTTTCAGCCCAGTGCTACAAGCACTGCGTGCGTCAAACGTGTCAAACGGGACCTTGGCATCTGAAGGATTCTACTGTCGTGATAATGGATATATACGATGCTACTGGTGAGTTTATTGTAACAATCCTACATCTTTGCAGAGATTTAAGTGGCATGAAACATCCTCAGAATCTAGAGTACATTTATTATTTTTTTGTTTTAACTAAACACACCACAGACTATCACAAGTCATCTCAGTGGACGGAAGTGAAAAGACAATCACACTTACAGCCCACCGTTGCGATCGTAGAACAAACACATAAACGAATCATAAAGTATTTTTTTTTTTGGGTGCTATTTTACACGCGTGCGTGCGTGTGTGCGTGAGTGTGTGTGTGTGTGTGCGTGCGTGAGTGCGTGCGTGCGTATGTGTGTGTGTGTATGTGTGTGTATGTGTGTGTGTGTATATGTGTGTGTGTGTGTGGGTGGGTGTCTGTCTGTCTGTATGTGTGTGTGTGGGTGGATGGATGAAAGGATGGATGGATGGATGTGTGTGTGCATGTGTGCGTGTGTGCGTGTGCGTGTGTGTGTGTATGTGTGCATGTGTGTATGTGTGTGTGTATGTGTATATGTGTGTGTATGTGTATGTATGTGTGTATGTGTGTGTGTGTGGGTGAGTGTGTGGGTGTCTGTCTGTCTGTCTGTCTGTCTGTCTGTCTGTGTGTGTGTGTGTGTGTGTGTGGATGGATGGATGGATGGATGGATGTATGCAACCATGTATGCAACCATGTATGCAACGATGTATGCATGCGCCCATAGAGTTTCTAAGATATCTAGTTCCTTTGTTGTGCTACTCGGCTTCAACCCAAACAGTTTGAATGTTCCTGTTCTGGTTGCTGTTGTACACTTTATTGTTGTACACTCTGTTGTACACTCTATATTCAACACGTATGTTTACGCACTGATACTCCTTAGTATCAGCAACCAAGTATTTAGGCCTAGGGTGCCTACTTTAATATTCCGCTGGATGTCTCCTTGATGGATGTGCTACAGTGAAGTCCTGCATACTGGCACACTTGGCACAGCATCATCTAATACAGTTGTTATTTTTATGAGTTAACCATAACGCTTGTGACAGGCCAGATAAACTTTATTGTCATTAACATTACACGTCACAAGATGATGATGAATAATTTTTAAAACAGGTTCGATAATAAATCTCTATTATCTACTCTGATGATATAAAAGATTACAGCAGCTTTTCTCAATGGACTCCTGCCATTATAATAAGTAAATAGACGTAGAACTGTCTCCCGCAAACAACGGTAAATCAAAACGTTTTATAATCTCCTCATATCAGAGAGCCTAATGTTTCCACACGTCCAACTTGGACAATGGAAACTTCCCAACTGCTTGTGCCTTTGTCCTCTATGCCCAGAACTCAATTAGCTCGTATCCTAGGTAACGACCCGTGGCCGCTGTGTGAACTTTTCACCTCAGCTGTGACCACTAGAAGAAACTTTAACTCTTGGCCAATAAGATTACAACAGTTGCCTCTCCGCCTCCCCCCCCCCCCTCTTTCCCTCTTTTTTTCCGACCTCGTATGAGCATCATACATAGTCAGTGTTTATGTTACCAGCTCCACTGCAGCCAGTACTAATGTCATCACACTTAAATGTTTGTGTGTCTCGTGTATAATTCTAGCAGTAGAAATACATGGGATATCACTTTGCCAAAATGTATAATTCTAGCAGTAGAAATACATGGGATATCACTTTGCCAAAGTGTATAATTATAGCAGTAGAAATACATGGGATATCACTTTGCCAAAGTGTATAATTCTAGCAGTAGAAATACATGGGATATCACTTTGCCAAAGTGTATAATTCTGGCAGTAGAAATACATGGGATATCACTTTGCCAAAGTGTATAATTCTAGCAGTAGAAATACATGGGATATCACTTTGCCAAAGTGTATAATTCTAGCAGTAGTAATACATGGAATATCACTTTGCCAAAGTGTATAATTCTGGCAGTAGAAATACATGGGATATCACTTTGCCAAAGTGTATAATTCTGGCAGTAGAAATACATGGGATATCACTTTGCCAAAGTGTATAATTCTGGCAGTAGAAATACATGGGATATCACTTTGCCAAAGTGTATAATTATGGCAGTAGAAATACATGGGATATCACTTTGCCAAAGTGTATAATTCTGGCAGTAGAAATACATGGGATATCACTTTGCCAAAGTGTATAATTCTAGCAGCAGAAATACATGGGATATCACTTTGCCAAAGTGTATAATTCTAGCAGTGGAAATACATGGGATATCACTTTTGCCAAAGTGTGCAATTCTGGCACTACACATACATGGGATATCACTTTTGCTAAAGTGTGTACATACAGTTCTGACATTCTTATCATGTGCCATATGGGAGAAGATTGAAGAACAAAAAGAGATTAATGTTTACAGTTAAAGTAATCTGTTACTCATTAACACACAGACAATATACTCGTACCTAACCTGTTCCCAACACTAACATCTAGGAGGTCAAGGTCATTAATGTACCCATTTATCGCCTTACATGACGAGGTGTCTTGCACAAGGTTCCATAGAACTAAAACAAATCCCTGTTGTACCCGAGTTGATGTAGATGAGATTTCTTTATACGCAACACCGTAGACTTAACATTCCCTCTTGTTTGTGACAGAAGTCACCACACTCACTTTTGCCTGTTAATACCGATCCAACATTCTTATCAGACGCAATATGGGAGAGGACTGAAACACATAAGAAGATGTTTGTATAATTAAAGTTAAGCACCCCCCCCCCCCGACACACACACAAAGTTACCTAACCAGTTCCAACCCTTATGTCTAAAATATTTCATCTAACAGGTGCAGCTTCGAGGTACCTGTTAATATGGTCACCAAGAGACAACATGCACCCGGCTGCGGACATGTGTTCCACAATCAGCCACCGAACCACATATAATAGTTGAGTAAATTGCCGCCAGAATGGACAGTAAGTATGACACGTTGTATAACACATGGGTTACTGATTAACTCTTTCATCACCAAGCAACTCCACATAGTTTTTAGTCAATCCAAAAGATAGCATAATCTTTTTACGACTTCTATAACAGACACATGTTTTATTAACCCCTAGTACCTGATTTATTATTTTGACTATTTCTGTCCAGCAGTGTTTTTTTTAAGCTCCTTCAGCCCTAAGTATTATTTATTTTTATACTAATCTCCGTGAGGTGGAAAGAGAGTTACAATAACAACCACTTAGGGCTGTAAGAGATGATGCGGTTGGTGTAAGCTTGTGAATAAAATCCCAGTTGATCATAAGTATATAGGGAAAAAAAAAGCAACTCAGCCAGCCAAAATTAGAGATGACTTTTCGGTACTTTCATTTTAGCTCACCCCTAACAAGAGAATCCCGGAATCCCCGGCAAAGTTTAATATGTTATGGGTTTTATGTGTTGTTTGTTTTTAGCGTTTATTTCGTCATCACTCTCAGAGTTTCTACCGTTCGTCATCACCTTGTATCTGAGCGGATAGCTGTGCCTGTGACTGTTTGCCATGAATGTCCTTGATCGGGCAGCATTGGTCAATGACAGAGTAGCGTTGCTTTTCTGTAGCAGCATGGCATCTTACATACTACCAGCATGACATCTTACATACTGCCATCATGACATCTTACATACTACTAGCATGGCATCTTACATACTACCAGCATGACATCTTACATACTACCAGCGTGACATCTCACATACTACCAGCATGACATCTTACATACTACCAGCATGACATCTTACATACTACCAGCATGACATCTTACATACTACCAGCATGACATCTTACATACTACCAGCATGACATCTTACATACTACCAGCATGACATCTTACATACTACCAGCATGACATCTTACATACTACCAGCATGACATTTTACATACTGCCAGCATTACATCTTACATACTACCAGCAAAGCTTCTTACATACTACCAGCATGACATCTAACATACTACCAGCATGACATCTTACATACTACCAGCATGAATTCTTACATACTACCAGCATGACATCTTACATACTGCCAGCATGGCATCTTACATACTACCAGCATGGCATCTCACATACTACCAGCATGGCATCTCACATACTACCAGCATGACATTTTACATACTACCAGCGTGACATCTTACATACTACCAGCGTGACATCTTACATACTACCAGCATGACATCTTACATACTACCAGCATGACATCTTACTTACTACCAGCATGGCATCTTACATACTAGCAGCAGGACATCTTACATACTACCAGCATAATATCTTACATACTACCAGCAGGACATCTTGCATACTACCAGCATGGCATCTTACATACTACCAGCATGGCATCTTATATACTACCAGCATGACATCTTACATACTGCCAGCATGGCATCTTACATACTACCAGCATGTCATCTTACATCTTACCAGCATGGCATCTTACATACTACCAGCACGGCATCTTACATACTACCAGCATGGCATCTTATATACTACCAGCATGGCATCTTACATACTACCAGCATGGCATCTTACATACTACCAGCATGGCATCTTACATACTACCAGCATGACATCTTACATACTACCAGCATGACATCTTACATACTACCAGCATGACATCTTACATACTACCAGCATGACATCTTACATACTACCAGCATGACATCTTACATACTACCAGCATGTCATCTTACATACTACCAGCATGGCATCTTACATACTACCAGCATGGCATCTTATATACTACCAGCATGGCATCTTACATACTACCAGCATGTCATCTTACATCTTACCAGCATGGCATCTTACATACTACCAGCATGGCATCTTACATCTTACCAGCAAGGCATCTTACATACTGTCAGCATGGCATCTTACATACTGCCAGCATGACATCTTACATACTGCCAGCATGGCATCTTACATACTGCCAGCATGACATCTTACATACTACCAGCATGGCATCTTATATACTGCCAGCATGACATCTTACATACTGCCAGCATGACATCTTACATACTACCAGCATGACATCTTACTTACTACCAGCATGGCATCTTACATACTACCAGCAGGACATCTTACATACTACCAGCATAATATCTTACATACTACCAGCAGGACATCTTACATACTACCAGCATAATATCTTACATACTACCAGCAGGACATCTTACATACTACCAGCATAATATCTTACACACTACCAGCATAATATCTTACATACTACCAGCATAATATCTTACATACTACCAGCAGGACATCTTACATACTACCAGCATAATATCTTACATACTACCAGCAGGACATCTTACATACTACCAGCATAATATCTTACATACTACCAGCATGACATCTTACATACTACCAGCATGTCATCTTACATCTTACCAGCATGGCATCTTACATACTACCAGCGTGACATCTTACATACTACCAGCGTGACATCTTACATACTACCAGCATGACATCTTACATACTACCAGCATGACATCTTACTTACTACCAGCATGGCATCTTACATACTACCAGCAGGACATCTTACATACTACCAGCATAATATCTTACATACTACCAGCATAATATCTTACAAACTACCAGCATGACATCTTACTTACTACCAGCATGACATCTTACATACTACCAGCATGACATCTTACATACTACCAGCATGTCATCTTACATACTACCAGCATGACATCTTACTTACTACCAGCATGGCATCTTACATACTACCAGCAGGACATCTTACATACTACCAGCATGACATCTTACATACTACCAGCATGGCATCTTACATACTACCAGCATGACATCTTACTTACTACCAGCATGGCATCTTACATACTACCAGCATGACATCTTACATACTACCAGCATGACATCTTACATACTACCAGCATGGCATCTTACATACTACCAGCATGACATCTTACATACTACCAGCATGACATCTTACATACTACCAGCATGACATCTTACATACTACCAGCATGACATCTTACTTACTACCAGCATGGCATCTTACATACTACCAGCAGGACATCTTACATACTACCAGCATAATATCTTACATACTACCAGCATAATATCTTACATACTACCAGCATGACATCTTACTTACTACCAGCATGACATCTTACATACTACCAGCATGACATCTTACATACTACCAGCATGTCATCTAACATCTTACCAGCATGGCATCTTACATACTCCCAGCATGGCATCTTACATACTACCAGCATGGCATCTTATATACTATCAGCATGGCATCTTACATACTGCCAGCATGCCATCTTACATCTTACCAGCATGGCATCTTACATACTACCAGCATGGCATCTTACATACTACCAGCATGGCATCTTACATACTGCCAGCATGCCATCTTACATCTTACCAGCATGGCATCTTACATACTACCAGCATGGCATCTTACATACTACCAGCATAGCATCTTACATACTACCAGCATGTCATCTTACATACTACCAGCATTACATCTTACATACTACCAGCATGGCATCTTACATACTACCAGCATTACATCTTACATACTACCAGCATGGCATCTTACATACTACCAGCATTACATCTTACATACTACCAGCATGGCATCTTACATACTACCAGCATGACATCTTACATACTACCAGCATGGCATCTTACATACTACCAGCATGACATCTTACATACTACCAGCATGTCATCTTACATCTTACCAGCATGACATCTTACATACTACCAGCATGGCATCTTACATACTACCAGCATGACATCTTACATACTACCAGCATGGCATCTTACATCTTACCAGCATGACATCTTACATACTACCAGCATGGCATCTTATATACTACCAGCATAACATCTTACATACTACCAGCATGGCATCTTATATACTACCAGCATGACATCTTACATACTGCCAGCATGGCATTTTATATACTACCAGCATGGCATCTTATATACTGCCAGCATGGCATCTTACATACTGCCAGCATGGCATCTTACATACTCCCAGCATGGCATCTCACATACTGCCAGCATGGCATCTTATATACTACCAGCATGGCATCTTATATACTACCAGCATGGCATCTTACATACTGCCAGCATGGCATCTTACATACTCCCAGCATGGCATCTTACATACTACCAGCATGGCATCTTACATACTGCCAGCATGGCATCTTATATACTACCAGCATGTCATCTTACATCTTACCAGCATGTCATCTTATATCTTACCAGCATGGCATCTTACATACTCCCAGCATGGCATCTTACATACTACCAGCATGACATCCTACATACTACCAGCACGGCATCTTACATACTACCAGCACGGCATCTTACATACTACCAGCACGGCATCTTACATACTACCAGCATGGCATCTTACATACTACCAGCACGACATCTTACATACTACCAGCACGGCATCTTACATACTACCAGCATGGCATCTTACATACTACCAGCATGGCATCTTACATACTGCCAGCACAGAATCTTACATACTACCAGCATGACATCTTACATACTACCAGCACGGCATCTTACATACTACCAGCACAGCATCTTACATACTACCAGCATGGCATCTTACATACTCCCAGCATGGCATCTTACATACTACCAGCACGGCATCTTACATACTACCAGCATGGCATCTTACATACTACCAGCATGACATCTTACATACTACCAGCATGGCATCTTACATACTACCAGCATGGCATCTTACATACTACCAGCATGGCATCTTACATATTACCAGCATAGCATCTTACAGACTACCAGCATGGCATCTTACATACTACCAGCATGGCATCTTACATATTACCAGCATAGCATCTTACAGACTACCAGCATGGCATCTTACATACTACCAGCATGGCATCTTACATATT